AAGCTGCCCTTACGTATGCTTTTCCCCGCTGCCCAGGTTCTGGCTGGCGGATTGCCCGCGGACAGCCGAAGCCGTCCATTTTGCCACCCTGCTGTACAAAGACCTGGCCGCCGTGCCCTACATGGCCAAATTCGTGGTGTTTGCAAAGATGAACGACGGGCGGGAAGGCCGCCTGCGCTGCTACTGCATGACGGACGACAAGGTGGACAAGACCCTGGAGCAGCACGAGAACTTCACCGAAGTGGCACGAAGCCGGGACATTGAGGTACCTCCCCTGGCAACCCTGTCTCGCTCTGTTGAGGCAAATGTTTCCAGTATAGTCGAAGGCTTTCATGGCCGGAATCACTGGGTGGTTGTAGGTTTTTCCGGGCTATATGGCCATGTTCGGGAGGCAATTTTTCTCCTGACGTTTCGCCTGCATCTGTGGCAAGCATCCTCAGAGGTAGTACGAAACGTCTACCTTTCAGGAGAAAAATTGCCTCCAGAACATGGCCATATAGCCCGGAAAAACCTACAACAACCCAGTTTCCAGTATAGTTTTCCAATTGGAAATTAGAAACGAGGGGACCGAAATGCAGCAGCTTAATCTGCAGCAAACACGAAGGGGTGGATGCCGGGAAAGAGCAGAGGGCAGCATTAGACTATTATGCACCATGGGTTTTACAGTCGACCAGAGTCAGATCAAGGTAAACATGGGTAAAGGTAAAGGTTTCCCTTTAACATTAAGTCTAGTTGTGTCCGATTCTGGGGGGGTCGCGAGAAACAGAGGTGCTGAATGGAAGGATAGAGCAGGGAAAGGGGGAAAGAAGGCGTGATTGCATGTATGTATGTTTACCTTGATTGTGTGCACAGCTGGCAGGGAGTCAGCTGCATTAAGATCACTTCTGACCAAAAGGTCATGAGTTCGAAGCCAGCCCAGGTCGGAGTGAGCTTCCGGCCAATTTGTGTAGCTTGTTGTCGACCTTTGCAACCCGAAAGACAGTTTTATTTATTTATTTATTATTTGAACTTATATGCCGCCACTCCCCTGGGGCTCGGAGCGGCTCACAAGAATAGCCAAAATCTAACAAAATTTAAAAGCAATTTTAAAACAATTTAAAAACAATAATATCAAACATTAAAAGCCTGTGGAAACAGGTATGTCTTACATGCCCTGCGGAAAGCTGGTAAGTCCCGCAAGGCATGGACTTCAGGTGGCAGAGTATTCCAGAGTGATGGTGCCACTGCTGTGAAGGCTCTGCGTCTGGTTGCTGTTAGACGCAAGGTCTTGACACTGGGGACTTCCAATAGATCTTGGTCCTCAGAACGGAGGGATCTCTGGGGTTGGTAGGGGGTGAGGCGGTCCCTCAGGTACATCGGCCCCAGACCATACAAGGCCTTAAAGGTGAGTACCATCACTTTGAAAGTGATCTGGTGCTCAATTGGTAACCAATGCAGCTGTAGTAAGATTGGGTTGAGTTGCATCTGTCAAGTAGGAAATTTAGGTACCACCTATGTGTGGAGAGGCTCATTTTAGGCTGTTAGGAATTGTGGAAGTCCAAAATGCCTGGAAGGAGGGCCCAAGTTTGCCCATGCCTGGTCTATCCGGATCTGGTCTTTCTTGGCGGTCTCTCACCCAAATACTAACTGCCGGGTCTGATCTTGGTTTGTTGCCAAAATGAGACGGTATTGAGGACCTGTGCCAGGGCTTAGTTGAACCCAATTTGAACCTATGTGGCACTGTGGGCACATAATAAGAATCACAAGTGCATCATTGGCTTGACAACCTCATTTTGACAACAGCTGGCATCTCTGTGGGATTGTGGCACAGCTGTCCGGGTGTCGGCTGCATTAAGATCACTACTGACCAAAAGTTCATGAGTTTGAAGCCAGCCCGGGTCGGAGTGAGCTTCCAGCCAATTTGTATAGCTTATTGTCGACCTTTGCAACCTGAAAGACAGTTGCATCTGTCAAGTAGGAAATTTAGGTACCACCTATGTGTGGGGAGGCTAATTTAACACATTTACAAGGCCATAAAAAATATCCAGCAAAAGCATGCAGGGAGTGCAGAAAGTACTTCATCAATGTCGCAGATGGATGATAAAGCGACAGCTCCCCTAGTGGCCAGAAAATTGGAACGTTAAATAGCCTCTGACTGTCTGTCTATATGTGTTGTGTGTCTATGGCATTGAATGTTTGCCATGTATGTGCACATTGTAATCCGCCCTGAGTCCCCTGTGGGCCGAGAAGGGCGGAATAGAAATACTGTACATAAAATAATGTTTAACCCCCAGTAGCGCAGCGGGTTAAACTGCCGTGCTGCTGAACTTGCTGACTGATAGGTTGGTGGTTCAAATCCGGGTTGCGGGGTGAGCTCCCGCTATTAGCCCCAGCTTCTGCCAATCTAGCAGTTCAAAAACATGCAAATGTGAGTAGTTCAATAGGTACCGCTCCGGCAGGAAGATAAGGGCGCTCCATGCAGTCATGCCAGTGGCAACATGACCTTGGAGGTGTCTATGGACAGCGCCGGCTCTTCGGCTTAGAAATGGAGATGAGCACCACACCGCAGAGTCAGACACAACTAGATTCAGTGTCAAGGGAAACTTTTTCCTTTACCTTACCAGCATCTGGAAGGCCACAAAACATATTGTGGGGGGACAGATTCGGTCCACAGGCCTTGAGTTTGACATGTGTGGTCTAGAAGCACCGTGTCCCAGCCTTGAATGCTCAGAGACTATCTTCCTCACTGACATGGTCACTAGTCCATGGTCCAGCAATGTCTCCGGACCTTCTCCCCATTCCTCTCACAGAGCAGGAAACACATTGCCTTTGTTGTCAACATTTCTTATAGGTATTGTCGAAGGCTTTCATGGCCGGAATCACTGGGTTGTTGTAGTTTTTTCGGGCTATATGGCCATGTTCTAGAGGCATTCTCTCCTGACGTTTCGCCTGCATCTATGGCAAACATCCTCAGAGGTTGTGAGGTCTGTTGGAACTAGGGAAAAGGTTTATATATCTGTGGAATGACCAGGGTGGAACAAAGGACTCTTGTCTGCTGGAGCTAGGTGTGAATGTTTCAACTGACCCCTTTTTCCTAGTTCCAACAGACCTCACTACCTCTGAGGATGCTTGCCATAGATCAGTGGTTCTCAACCTTCCTAATGCCGTGACCCCTTAATGCCGTTCCTCATGTGTTGGTGACCCCCAACCATCATATTATTTCCATTGGTACTTCGTAACTGTAATTTTGCTCCTGTTATGAATTGTAATGTAAATATCTGAGATGCAGGATGTATTCTCATTCACTGGACCAAATTTGGCACAAATAGCCAATATCCCCAAATTTGAAAACTGGTGGGGTTGGCGGGGGGGGGGGGGTTCATTTTGTCATTTGGGAGTTGTAGTTGCTGGGATTTATAGTTAACCTATAATCAAAGAGCATTCTGAACTCCACCAACAAAAGAATCAAGCCAAGCTTGGCACACAGAACTCCTACGACGTACAGAGAATACTGGAAAGGTTTGTTGTGCATTGACTTTGAGTTTGGGAGTTGTAGTTCACCTACATCCAGAGAGCACTGTGGACTCAAACAGTGATGGATCTGGACTAACTTGGCATGGATACTCCATATGCCCAAATGTGGACACTGGTGGAGTTTGGGGAAAATAGACCTTGACATTTGGGAGTTGTAGTTGCTGGGATTTATAGTTCATCTATAATCAAAAGGCATTTTGAACTCCACCAATGATGGAATTGAACCAGACTTGGCACACAGAACTCCCATGACCGACAGAAAACACTGGAAGGGTTTGGTGGGCACTGACCTTGAGTTTTGGATATGTAGTTCACCTACATCCAGAGAGCAATGATGGATCTGGACCAAAATATGCGCAAATACTCAATATGCCCAAATGTGGACACTGGTGGACCTTGGCATTTGGGAGTTGTAGTTGCTGGGATTTACAGTTGTAGTTGCTGTCATTTATAGTTAACCTACAATCAAAGAGCATTCTGAACCCCACCAATGATAGAATTGGGCCAAACTTCCCACACAGAATCCCCATGACCAATAGAAAATACTGTGTTTTCTGATTGTCTTTGGTGACCCCTCTGAAACCCCCTCACGACCCCCCCAGGGGTCCCGACCCCCAGGTTGAGAAACACTGCTCTACGAGTTTCCTTTCTCTAGGCACCAAAGTTATCAAACTAACCTGTGGGTCGGGACCCCTGGAGGGGTCGCGAGGGGGTGTAAGAGGGGTCGCCAAAGACCATCACAGACAGTATTTTTTGTTGGTCATGGGGGTTCTGTGTGGGAAGTTTGGCCTAATTCTATCGTTGGTGGGCTTCTGAATACTCTTTGGTTGTAGGTGAACTATAAATCCCAGCAACTACAACTCCCAAATGTCAAGGTCTATTTCCCCCAAACTCCACCAGTGTTCACATTTGGGCATATTGAATATTGGTGCCAAGTTTGATCCAGATCCATCATTGTTTGAATCCACAGTGCTCTCTGGGTGTAGGCAAATTACAACTCCCAAACTCAAGGTCAATGCCCATCAAACCCTTCCAGTATTTTCCGTTGGTCATAGGAGTTCTGTGTGCCCAATTTGGTCCAATTTGGTCCAGTTCCATCCTTGGTATAGTTCAGAATGCTCTTTGAATGTAGGTGAACTATAAATCCCAGCAACTACAACTCCCAAATGACAAAATCCCATCCCAACCCCACCAGTATTCAAATTAGGGCATATTGGGTATTTGTGCCAAATTTGGTCCAGTGAATAAGAATACATCCCTCATATCAGATATTTACATTACGATTCATAACAGTAGCAAAATTACAATTATGAAGTAGCAATGAAAATAATGTGATGGTTGGGGGTCACCACCCCATGAGGAACGGTATTAAGGGGTCGCGGCATTAGGAAAGTTGAGAACCACTGCTCTAGACCATGGCCATATAGCCTGAAAAAACCTACAACAACCCATTTCTTATATGCCTTGGCCAAGAAAGACATCTTATAATTGGAATTCCAAAGAATGTCCAAAGTGGTGTACTAGGGATGTTATTAACTTTCATATATGTGCTTGCGTGTATTCTGACACGCTTCAGCACCCAGGCAAAGGAGTTTTTGCAGGTTGTTGTGATGCATCTAAAACTTGCTTTAGGAATAACCTATTCCTAAAGAGGAGATCACTCCAGTGCAATTCTGTGGAACTATGCAAGGACCGGACAACTGTTGTCCAACTGTGAATGTATCCTGCAGTGATGCAGGAGTCTTGCGGCATTGTGTTATTTACAGTGGCCATTTATTGATTTGTTTTCACGCGTGCAAGTTGAAACGTACATTTTTAAGGAACGTCTTCCTTAGCGAACGTATGGTCTGCTTCTCCAGGTGGTGGAAGGGATGCCGCTCCATACGGAGCTGTCTGGGAATCTGGTGCCGATCAAGAAGGCCGCCCAGCAGCGCAGCTTCCTGTTCCAGTCATTCCATGAGAACCGCCTCATCATCCCAGTTAAGGTGAGCAACTGGGGGTCAAGGCAAGGCTTTGGGGTCAAAGCAACAAAGGCCCTTCACTACTCCCTACTGGTTTGGCCTGGAGCTATATGACTCAAGTGCAGAAGGAAGGAGTATCATTTGCTCCGGTACAAGTCCCATCTGACCCTTGTCCCCAATTCTATTGGCTACTGTAGGAGTGGGCAAGCCTCTGCTTATAGTTTGTTTGCGCAATCTTCTTGCAGCAGCTGAGAATGTGATTATGTATTGTCGAAGGCTTCCATGGCCAGAGTCACTTGGTTGTTATAGGTTTTAGGGCTATATGGCCATGGTCTAGAGGCATTCTCTCTTGACGTTTCACCTGCATCTATGGCCAGCATCCTTAGAGGTAGTGAGGTCTGTTGGAACTAGGCAAAGGGTTTATATATCTGTGGAATGACCAGGGTGGGACAAAGGACTCTTGTCTGTGGGAGCTAGGACGTTTGTCTGCTGGAGCTAGGTGTGAATGTTTCAACTGACCACCTTGATTAGCATTTATGGGCTGACTGTGCCTGGGGCAAACTTTTGTTGAGAGGTAATTAGATGTCCCTGCCTGCTTCCTCTCTGTTGTTGTGCTGTTGCAATTTTAGAGGGTTTTTTTTAATACTGGTAGCCAGATTTTGTTCATTTTCATGGTTTCCTCCTTTCTGTTGAAATTGTCCACATGCTTGTGGATTTCAATGGCTTCTCTGTGTAGTCTGACATGGTGGTTGTGAGAGTGGTACAGCATTTCTGTGTTCTCAAATAATATGCTGGGTCCAGGTTGGTTCATCAGGTGCTCTGCTATATTAAAAAACTCTAAAATTGCAACAGCACAACAACAGAGAGGAAGCAGGCAGGGACATCTAATTACCTCTCAACAAAAGTTTGCCCCAGGCACAGTCAGGCCATTGTATGCTAATCAAGGTGGTCAGTTGAAACATTCACACCTAGCTCCAGCAGACAAGAGTCCTTTGTCCCACCCTGGTCATTCCACAGATATATAAACCAATTTTCCTAGTTCCAACAGACCTCACTACCTCTGAGGATGCTTGCCATAGATGCAGGCGAAACGTCAGGAGAGAATGCCTCTAGACCATGGCCATATAGCCCAAAAAAACCTACAACAACCCAGTGAGCACATCTATAATAATAATAATAATAATAATAATAATAATAATAATAATAATTTTACTGACACAAAAGTGCAGTATGTCACAGCAAATGAGAGATATATGCTGGATTTAGTATCACACTTCCCAAGCATCTAAGACTGCGTGATGTATTATTATTATTATTGTTGTTGTTGTTGTTGTTGTTGTTGTTGTTGTTGTTGCACAGTAGAAGAGACTAAGCTGTGTTGTGATGAGGTGAGACTTGCCTATAATATCACCGCTGCCACCTTTCCCCTTCTGGCTTTTTTTGGGACAGGTACGAGACAGCAGTCGGGAAGCAAGTGGCTCGTTGTCGTTCCTGCGCAAGCCCATGAAATACGAGGAGCTGCAGCATGTTCTTTGCCACCTGAACATCACCATGCCACCTTGCTCCAAGGTAAATACACTCCTTGCCTCACCTTCATGCATTGTAGCCCGCCTTCATTTCCTACTGCACTTTCAGCTTTTTCTTGCTTTCTGGAACCAATTTGTAGAATGGGTTGCTGTGAGTTTTCCGGGCTGTATGACCATGTTTCAGAAGCATTCTCTCCTGGGCCCGGTCCTGTTCAACATCTTGATTAATGACTTAGATGAAGGGCTAGAAGGCACGATCATCAAGTTTGCAGACAACACCAAATTGGGAGGGAGAGCCAAGATTCCAGAGGACAGGAGCAGAATTCAAAACGATCTTGACAGATTAGAGAGATGAATGGCCAAAACTAACAAAATGAAGTTCAACAGGGACAAATGCAAGATACTCCACTTTGGCAGGAAAAACGAAATGCAAAGATACAGAATGGGGGATGCCTGGCTCGAGAGCAGTACGTGTGAAAAAGATCTTGGAGTCCTCGTGGACAACAAGTTAAACATGAGCCAACAATGTGATGTGGCGGCAAAAAAAGCCAATGGGATTTTGGCCTGCATCAAGAGGAGCATAGTGTCTAGATCTAGGGAAGTCATGCTCCCCATGCTCTATTCTGCTTTGGTTAGACCACACCTGGAATATTGTGTCCAATTCTGGGCACCACAATTCAAGAGAGATATTGACAAGCTGGAATGTGTCCAGAGGAAGAGGGCGACTCAAATGATCAAGAGTCTGGAGAACAAGCCCTATGAGGAGCGGCTTAAGGAGCTGGGCATGTTTAGCCTGAAGAAGAGAAGGCTGAGAGGAGACATGATAGCCATGTATAAATATGTGAGAGGGAGCCACAGGGAGGAGGGAGCAAGCTTGTTTTCTGCTTCCTTGGAGACTAGGACGCGGAATAATGGCTTCAAACTACAAGAGAGAAGATTCCATCTGAACATGAGGAAGAACTTCCTGACTGTGAGAGCCATTCAACAGTGGAACTCTCTGCCCCGGAGTGTGGTGGAGGCTCCTTCTTTGGAAGCTTTTAAACAGAGGCTGGATGGCCATCTGTCAGGGGTGAATGCAATATTCCTGCTTCTTGGCAGAATGGGGTTGGACTGGATGGCCCAGGAGGTCTCTTCCAACTCTTTGATTCTATCATTCTATGACATTTCGCCCAAGCTGTAACAGGGGGATTCCAGAGAAGAAACAATCAGGCCAGATAATACCTCCCAACAAGAGATTCCCCAGGCAGAAAGCAGCCAGGCTTTGAAGCTGCAAGGCTATTCAGTGCTAATCAAGCTGGCCAATTGCAGCATTCACACGTGCCTCCAACAGCAAGAGAAAGAAAGCTCAGAGCAGGGAGCTGTCAGCTGCAATTTGTCAAAGAGCCCAGAGAGGACTTGAGGAAGGAAACCATCCATTCGGAGAGTTCGGAGAGGAGTGCAAATCTTTCCTGCAGCCATTTTCTGCAAATTTTGGCTTGCAAAGCGCCGGTTATTTAGTCATGCAGGTCGGAAACTCTGGAACGGTGGCTTTTGAGGACGACAACTCACAGAATCTCTCCAAAACATAGTCCTAGGCATTACTGGTTAGGGCATTCTGGGAGTTATAGTATTCTCTTCCTCTCTCTCTCTCTCTGTCTGTTTTAAGGGTGCATCTATGCTGTAGAATTATTTCCGCCTGGCATTGCTTTAACTGCCATGGAACAATGCTATAAAATCATGGGAGATGTAGTTTGGTGAACTCTGTGGCAGGGGAAGTGCCTTGTAAAACTACAATTCATATGTTTCCATAGGCATTGTTGTTGTTGTTTTTTGTTGTTGTTTGTGCCGTCGCGCCTGGGGTCTCTAGATCTTAGTGAAAGAAACATGGACGTGATATCTCTCCCCAGGGGATTGCTTCTTGCCCTCCTTTAGGAAACTGGGACTCCCAAGGACCAAGACACAACAGATAACTCGAAATGGTCTTTATTGTTCACAATGAGTTATCTTTCTTAGGCATAAACCTGATGTTTCAACAGGGATAAAGAAAATATATGTTACAGTCTCTGAAGTCTTGGGTCCAAGGAGTTTGCAGCTGAGAAGCTTTCCAGGTTCCCTCTTTTCTCAATGGTTGTGAATGCCGGAGCATCCACAACTCCAGTCCTAATGGCCTATATTTGAAGGCACAAAGTCTTCCTCTGGTGCCAAAGGACTGGTTTGAAGGCGCTTGAGACTCCTCAACGTCGTCCAGGGAAATCTGGGTATGAAGTGTGAGTCTCAAGGGTAAAAACCTGAGAATTGGTGATGAGAGATAGCTTAAACAAGGGCTTTAGAGCCAAGTCTTTCTCACATCCATCTATAAAGCTGTCGGATGGTAGAATGAAAAGGAAGCCCTGCCCTCTTCCCCAGGAAGGGGAGGAGCCAACAATTAAGCAGGGAAGGCAATTCAACAGATGCAAACAACATTGATAGAAAGCAGTAGATAGCCAAACAATTCAACTGTACATTCACATACAAGAGGGGACAGATGCGCCATCACATTGTTATTATCATTATTATTACTATTAATAATCACGGCCTAAAATTAGGACGGTAAATAAAGAGGAACACTCGGAAAACGGGAAATCCAGATAGCAAACAACCAGGGCCAGCTAATCACCTCCCGACAAAGGATTCCACCAAGCAGTAAGCAGCCAGACCTTGAAACTGCAAGGCCATTCAATGCTAATCAAGGTGGCCAATTGCAACATTCCCACTTGCCTCAAACGGAGAAGAGTTCTTTTTTTTCTCCCACCCTGGACATCATTCCACAGATATATAAACCCCACTTGCCTAGTTTCCAACAGGACTCATAACCTCTGAGGATGCCTGCCAAAGATGTGGGCAAAACGTCAGGAGAGCATGCTTCTGGAACATGGCCAGGCAGCCTGGAAAACTTACAGCAACCCAACGATTCCAACCATGAAAGCCTTCGACAACACAATTTGTAGAATGGTTTCCAATCTACAAATTGTATTGTCGAAGGCTTTCATGGCTGGAATCGCTGGGTTGCTGTGAGTTTTCCAGGCTGCCTGGCCATGTTCCAGAAGCATGCTCTCCTGACAATCTCTCACCTCATTGCAGAAATAATCCCCTAGACAACAACACACAGAAAAAAAATTAACCATATTGGGAAAATGTCACACTACGCTTAAGAAAGTCATGCCTTGAGGATGATTGTTTGGAGAAACCGGAAAACTCACAGCAACCCATCTCGTGGAAGAGTTCATGACTGGCTTGAACAGCCACATCCCACATGATGAAGCATTTTGTGGCGCATCCCACTCATTTCACTTATTTTGAACAGAAGCAAGGTTGTGGAGTAATCACCCTTTGAGCATTGTAGGAGGAAATGAAGTCTTTTCTCAATCTGTTGTTTTCTCAAACTGCCCTTTTCCCCGTTCTTCCCAGAGTTCCGGAAGTGAGGAGCGAAGGAGAACGTTGACGCCGCTGGCCCTTCGCGAGAGATACAGCCTCCTCAGCGACAGCACTTTGGGTAGGAATGAAGCCGGGTGCGGCAAAACATAATGTGGCCAAAGCCAGGGCAGTGGAGCCACTTCCACACATTGACTCAGTTCCACTGAGTGTTACCCTTAACATCCGGGAAGCCACTCTCCTCCTCATCACACTAGTTTGGTTTCAAGTGTAGCAGAGAGCATTCTTTGCCTCTTTTAAGCGTGGGCGCCAGCATTCTTTTCAAATGTTTCAGGAGCGAGTAGGGAAGCGGGTTTTTGGGAATCATCCGGATGTTTGGCCATTTCTGTAATGTGATGACATTCATTGTTCCCAGGTTTAAAATGGAACCTTTTGTTGCACTCCAGGTCAGGAAAAAGCCCTCTGACTTTAAAACGTACCACACGAAGAGTGAAGAAACAAATCTTCTTTTATTGAAGCTTAGTAAATAGCCAGAAGAAATAAATGCTTGTAAGAAAATCAGAAGGCTCCAAAAAGTAATAAGTCCATAAAAGGTAGTAACATAGAGAAATGTCCACACCAGATATAAAAGCAATCCAAGACAGCATTTATCCAGGCAGGAATCAACAGGATGCAAAGACAATCCACAAGGCTAAACAACACCACAGGGACAAGACTCCTTGAACTGGATTTCCATAGTGCATGAACTTGATTTCCAAACGATGCCTAATCTAAAAGGTTTTCCCTTGAGGCAAACCTTATATCCCAAAACTCAGAAATTGGTTTCGCTTTTCCCCACATTTACCCCTTATCAGAGCAACGTAAACACTGCATTTGCTGTCAATCTTGGCTAATCTCCAGCCTCCTATTCTTCAGCTCCCTATCTGGCTGCTCATTAAAATTCCCAGGTGTCAGATTGTTTTCCAAACCCAAATCTTGAGAGCTCACAGAGAGAGGGAGTGAACCATCATTGCTAGGCTCAGAAGGAATATTCTCATGAGAAACTGCCCTTTGCACTGGGGCCTCTCTGTCATGTCTGCATGAAAATCATTGACCAAACCATCTCCATCTTGTACCGCAGCTTCGGCACCATCATTTCTCTCATCATTTCCCACACCAGGATTCTGAAACACAAACACAGGCTGGTTCCCAACACCTTTCCCCAAATTGTGGGAGGAGCCAAAACTATCCTTGTTAGGGAAAGCCTTTCCGGGTCCTTCCCTTCCCTTCCTTCCATGATATATCTGTGCCTTGTGTTGCACGGGAAAGCCAGGAAAGAATGATTATTATTGTTATTATGCCATGTCTCCATGCTGTGCAGTCCCAGGAGTTATAGTTTCCCAAAGCCCATACCCTTCTCTTGGTGCATTTACAGTATGGAATGATTCCTCTTGGACTCCACTTTAAATACCATGGCTCCATACTATAGTCATAGTTTTCCAAGGTCCATGCCCTTCTCTGGTTACATGCAGTCAGGACCCATTTTAAATGCCATTATTATTATTATTATTATTATTATTACTACTACTACTACTACTACTACTATTATGCCGTATCTCCATGCTGTGCAGTCCCAGGAGTTATAGTTTCCCAAAGTCCATACCCTTCTCTTGGTGCATTTACAGTATGGAATGATTCCTCTTGGACTCCACTTTAAATACCATGGCTCCATACTATTGGATCCTGGGAGTCATAGTTTTCCAAGATCCATACCCTTCTCTGGTTACATGCAGTCAGGACCCATTTTAAATGCCATTATTATTATTATTATTATTATTATTATTATTATTATTATTATTATTATTTGAAACATATCTCCATGACGTGCAGTCCTGGGAGTCATAGTTTCCCAAAGTCCATGCCCTTCTCTTGGTGCATTTACAGTATGGAATGATTGCTCTTGGACCCCACTTTAAATACCATGGCTCCATATTATGGGGTCCTGGGAGTTATACTTCTCTGGATGCATCTGCACTGGAGAATAAATGCAGTCAGGACCCATTTTAAATGCCATTATTATTATTATTATTATTATTATTATTATTATTATTATTATTATGCCATATCTCCATGCTGTACAGTCCTGAGAATCATAGTTTTCCAAGATCCATACCCTTCTCTGGTTAAATGCAGTCAGGACCCATTTTAAATGCCATTATTATTATTATTATTATTATTATTATTATTATTATTATTATTATGCCATATCTCCATGCTGTACAGTCCTGAGAATCATAGTTTTCCAAGATCCATACCCTTCTCTGGTTAAATGCAGTCAGGACCCATTTTAAATGCCATTATTATTATTATTATTATTATTATTATTATTATTATTATTATGCCATATCTCCATGCTGTACAGTCCTGAGAATCATAGTTTTCCAAGGTCCATACCCTTCTCTTAGTGCATTTACAGTATGGAATGAATGCCCTTGCACCCCACTTTGAATGCCATGGCTCCATGCGATGGAGTCCTCCTGGGAGTTATAGTTTCCCAAGGTCCATACCCTTCTCTGGATGCATCTGCACTAGAGAATAAATTCATTTGGGACCCATTTTAAATGCTATTATTATTATTATTATTATTATTATTATTATTATTATTATTATTTTTTTTTTTTTTTTCTCCTCAAAAAGAAAAAAAAAAAAAAAAAAAAAAAAAAAGCAGGTAGTTATTATTATTATTATTTTACTGACACAAAAGCACAGTATGTCACAGCAAACGAGATCTATATGCTTGATTTCATATCAAAAAATCACAAGTCAAACACTTCCACTTTATTATTATTACTACATTTATTATTATTATTATCGAGTCCCCAGTGGGGAGATGGTGGCAGGGTATAAATAAATTATTATTATTATTATTATTAGTATTATTATTATTATTTGAAACACAACAAGATGAGTTCACAGCAGATACTCTGCTGGCTGTTGAATTGGATCACACGTCGGACACTTCCCAATTGTCTAGGACTGTGTGATGTATCAGCGAATAATGCGTGCAGATCCCAGTAAGGTGGCCTTCTGCAGCTGGCAGATGGTATCTGTGCCGATTGTGTTTAAGTGCAGGCCAAGGTCTTTAGGCACTGCACCCAGTGTGCCGATCACCACTGGGACCACCTTGACTGGCTTGTGCCAGAGTCTTTGCAGTTCGATCTTTAAATCCTCATATTGTGTCAGCTTTTCCAGTTGTTTCCTGCTGTTGCTTGGGATTGCAACATCGACAATCCATTTTGTTTTTTAACACGATTGTGAGGTCAGGAGTATTGTGCTCCAAAACTCTGTCTGTCTGAATCCGGAAGTCCCAGAGGAGTTTGACATGTTCATTCTCTGTAACTTTTTCCGGCTTGTGATCCCACCAGTTCCTTGTTGCAGGCAGATCGTGTTTGTGGCACAAGTTCCAATGAATCATCTGAGCAACAGCGTTGTGCCTCTGCTTGTAGTCTGTCTAGAGTGATCTTCTTGCAGCAGCTGAGATCCCAGTAAGGTGGCCTTCTGCAGCTGGCAGATGGTAATTTTGTCAGCGCCGATTGTGTTTAAGTGCAGGCCAAGGTCTTTAGGGAACTGCACCCAGTGTGCTGATCACCACTGGGACCACCTTTACTGGTTTGTGCCAGAGTCTTTACAGTTCGATTTTGGATTCGCATTATTATTATTATTATTATTATTATTATTATTATTATCATCATCATCATCATCATCATCATCATCATCACGCCATGTCTCTATGCTGTGCAGTCCTGGGAGACATAGTTTTCCAAGGTCTATACCCTTCTCTGTGGGGCAGGAAAGAGAGAGAGAGAGCATCACCGCTTTCCCTCTCTGCTTCCTTGCTTCCATGTAACAGCTGGGGAGGGATGTTGAGCGGGGCCACATTGCAGTGTGATGGCAAATGAACTGAAAGAATGCTGAGTACAACTGAGTAACACAGATACATTTAACAGTGTGATGATGGTAGGGAAATGGTCCGTTTCATTGAAAAGAGGAGCTCTACTCAGCCCAACGTTTTCATCCGTTCCATTGCATCAGTGTGATGAGGTGACGAGTCCTCTCTCTTCCGTCGTCCCTTTAGGCTCCGTCAGCAGCACCGAGAAGGACAGGACTGACATGAAAATGGCTGTCATTGCGGAACATCTGGGCCTCAGTTGGGCTGGTGAGTGACATGGAGGCTACTCATAGACCAAAAAGGCACAATGTATTGTTGAAGGCTTTCATGGCCGGAATCACTGGGTTGTTGTAGGTTTTTTCAGGCTATATGGCCATGTTCTAGAGGCATTCTCTCCTGACGTTTCGCCTGCATCTATGGCAAGCATCCTCAGAGGTAGTGAGGTCTGTTGGAACTAGGAAAAAGGGTTTATATATCTGTGGAATGACCAGGGTGGGACAAAGGACTCTTGTCTGCTGGAGTTAGGTGTGAATGTTTCAACTGACCACCTTGATTAGCATTTGATTGCCTGGCAGTGCCTGGAGCAATCTTTTGTTGAGAGGTGATTAGATGTCCTTTTTTGTTTCCTCTCTGTTGTTGTGCTGTTCTAATTTTAGAGTTTTTTAATACTGCTAGCCAGATTTTGTCCATTTTCATGGTTTCCTCCTTTCTGTTGAAATTGTCCACATGCTTGTGGAATTCAATGGCTTCTCTGTGTAGTCTGACATGGTAGTCTAATCACCTCTCAACAAAAGATTGCTCCAGGCACTGCCAGGCAATCAAACGCTATTATTATTATTATTATTATTATTATTGAAACTCAACAAGATGAGTCCACAGCAGACACTCTGCTGGCTGTTGTATTGGATCACACGTCGGACACTTCCCAAGTGTCTAGGACTGTGTGATGTTTTTTATTGTTATTATTATTATTATTATTTGAAACACAACAAGATGAGTCCACAGCAGACGCTCTGCTGGCTGTTGAATTGGATCACACGTCGGACACTTCCCAAGTGTCTAGGACTGTGTGATGTATCGGCGAATAATGCGTGCAGATCCCAGTAAGGTGGCCTTCTGCAGCTGGCAGATGGTAATCTTGTCAGCGCCGATTGTGTTTAAGTGCAGGCCAAGGTCTTTAGGCACTGCACCCAGTGTGCCGATCACCACTGGGACCACCTTGACTGGCTTGTGCCAGAGTCTTTGCAGTTCGATTTTTAAATCCTCATATCGTGTCAGCTTTTCCAGTTGTTTCTCTTCAATCCTGCTGTCTCCTGGGATTGCAACATCGACGATCCGTACTTTGTTTTTTAACACAATTGTGAGGTCAGGAGTATTCTGCTCCAAAACTCTGTCTATCTGAATCCAGAAGTCCCAGAGTAGCTTGACGTGTTCATTCTCTGTAACTTTTTCCGGCTTGTGATCCCACCAGTTCTTTTGTTGCAGGCAGAAGGTGTTTGTGGCACAAGTTCCAATGGATCACCTGAGCAACAGCGTTGTGCCTCTGCTTGTAGTTTGTCTGCACAGTCCTCTTGCAGCAGCTGAGGATGGGATCTATTGTTATTATTATTATACAAATTATTATTATTATTATTATTATTATTATTATTATTATTATATCTTTGTTGCAGGCAAATGGTGTTTGTGGCACAAGTTCCAATGAATCATCTGAGCAACGGTGTTGTGCCTCTGCTTGTAGTCTGTCTGCACGATCTTCTTGCAGCAGCTGAGGATGGGATCTATTGTTGTTATTATTATTCAAATTATTATTATTATTATTATTATTATTATTATAATATAAGTATTATAGTTCTTTGTGGCAGGCAGATGGTGTTTGTGGCACAAGTTCCAATGAATCATCTGAGCAACGGTGTTGTTGTGCCTCTGCTTGTAGTCTATCTGCGCGATTTTCTTGCAGCAGCTGAGGATGGGATCTATTGTTATTATTATTATTCAAATTTATTATTATTATTATTATTATTATTATTATGTGATCCCACCAGTTCTTTGTGGCAGGCAGATGGTATTTGTGGCACAAGTTCCAGTGAATCATCTGAGCAACGGTGTTAGGCCTCTGCTTGTAGTCTGTCTGCACAATCTGCTTGCAGCAGCTGAGGATGTGATCTATTGTTTCATCTGTTTTTAAAATTATTATTATTATTATTATTATTATTATTATTATTATTATATAAGTATTATAGTTCTTTGTCGCAGGCAGATGGTATTTGTGGCACAAGTTCCAATGAATCATCTGAGCAACGGTGTTGTGCCTCTGCTTGTAGTCTATCTGCGCGATTTTCTTGCAGCAGCTAAGGATGGGATCTATTGTTATTATTATTCAAATTATTATTATTATTATTATTATATAAGCAGTAGTTCTTTGTCGCTGGCACAAGTTCCAATGAATCATCTGAGCAACGGTGTTGTTGTGCCTCTGCTTGTAGTCTATCTGCGCGATTTTCTTGCAGCAGCTGAGGATGGGATCTATTGTTATTATTATTATTCAAATTATTATTTGAATTATTATTATTATTATTATTATTATTATTATTATTATTATAAGTATTATAGTTCTTTGTTGCAGGCAGATGGTCTTTGTGGCACAAGTTCCAATGAATCATCTGAGCAACGGTGTTGTGCCTCTGCTTGTAGTCTGTCTGCACAATCTTCTTGCAGCAGCTGAGGATGGGATCTATTGTTATTATTATTATTAAAATTATTATTATTATTATTATTATTATTATTATTATTATTATATAAGTATTATAGTTCTTTGTCGCAGGCAGATGGTATTTGTGGCACAAGTTCCAATGAATCATCTGAGCAACGGTGTTGTGCCTCTGCTTGTAGTCTGTCTGCACGATCTTCTTGCAGCAGCTGAGGATGGGATCTATTGTTTCATCTGCTTCCTTGCAGAGTCTACATTTGGGATCTGTTGTCTACTTTTTATCTATTATTATTACTATTACTACTACTACTACTACTACTACTACTACTAGGAAAAGAATGTGTGTAGCTCAGATGCAGGCGAACTCCAGGGACCACTTTTTGACCCCTAGACCACTTCCGAGACCATATCCACCTCCGGAAATTATTAGATAGTCCATTCCATTTGAGGGGAAATGTCCAGGTTTGTTTTTGTTGTTGTTGTTGCAAAAACAAGGTGCAGGCCCTGTCCTAGCAGGGAAACATTCATTCAAACTATGGGGAGTACGGGTGGGACTTGTAAGAAGACGTAAAAAGCTTTATTGGACGTATGCCTGATGCCACGTTGTGTTCTGCATTTGCCTCTTGCAACAGAATTAGCCCGGGAGCTGCAGTTTGGAGTGGATGACATCAACAGGATCCGTGTGGAGAACCCCAACTCCCTGCTGGAGCAGAGCATGGCGTTGCTGAACCTCTGGACCAGCCGTGGGGGACAGAGTGCCAACAGTGAGTCATGAACAGCGGGTGGAAGAGCTTGCGGGCATCCTCGTACTGGGGAGAGGGACGTCTTCTGTTTTTCCTTTGGCCAAGTTCTCATGAGGTGTGAACTCTGCACAAGGAGATGTGCAGTGGAAGCACCACATTCTTTGCAGAATACATATGAGTTAGCAAATTATAGTAAATCATCAATAGGTACCGCTTCAGTGTGTTCCACACTGGGCATGCACACTCAGCAGCAGAGTAGCATAACGCAAGGGCAGATGTCTTCACTGTGTCTGGTTGTGATCCCCAGGTTGTGCCAGTCAGCTTTCGTCTGATATTGTTTCTAGCGCCCACTTTTTGCTTGATGTTCAGGCAGTGCTTCTTGTAGGTCAGGGAACGGTCCAGAGTGACTCCCAGGTATTTGGGTGCCAAACATCCACCCAAATAATAATAATCATCATCATCATCATCATGCCTGTGGCCACATGACCTTGGAGGTGTCTACAGACAGTGCCGGCTCTTCAGCTTCGAAATGGAAATGAGCACCAACCCCCAGAGTCAGACATGATGAGACTTAATGTCAGGGGAAACCTTTACACCAGTGGTTCTCGGCGCAGTGGGTTAAACCCCTGTGCAGGCAGGACTGAAGACCGACAGGTTGCAGGTTCGAATCTGGGAGAGCGTGGATGAGCTCCCTCTGTCAGCTCCAGCTCCCCATGCGGACATGAGAGAAGCCTCCCACAAGGATGGTAAAGCATCAAAACATCTGGGCATCCCCTGGGCAACGTCCTTGCAGACGGCCAATTCGCTCACACCAGAAGCGACTTGCAGTTTCTCAAGTCGCTCCTGACACAACAAAAAATAAAAAAGCAGGTTAAACCACTGAGCTTGCTGACCAAAAGGTCGGCAGTTTAAATCTGGGGAGCAGGGTGAGCTCCCACTGTTAGCTTCTGCCAACCTAGCAGTTCAAAAACATGCACATGTAAGTAGATCAATACGTACCACTCCGGCAGGAAGGTAATGGCACTCCATGAGCTCCCTCTGTCAGCTCCAGCTCCCCATGCGGGGACATGAGAGAAGCCTCCCACAAGGATGGTAAAAACATCAAAACATCCAGGCATCACCTGGGCAACGTCCTTGCAGACGGCCAATTCTCTCACACCAGAAGTGACTTGCAGTTTCTCAAGCCGCTCCTGACACGACAAAAAATAAAAAAGCAGGTTAAACCACTGAGCTTGCTGACCAAAAGGTTGGCAGTTTGAATCTGGGGAGCAGGGTGAGCTCCCACTGTTAGCCCCAGCTTCTGCCAACCTAGAAGTTCAAAAACATGCAAATGTGAGTAGATCAATAGGTACCGCTCAGGAAGGTAATGGCACTCCATGAGCTCCCTCTGTCAGCTCCAGCTCCCCATGCGGGGACATGAGAGAAGCCTCCCACAAGGATGGTAAAAACATCAAAACATCCAGGCAACATCCCCTGGGCAACATCCTTGCAGACGGCCAATTCTCTCACAGCAGAAGTGACTTGCAGTTTCTCAAGTCGCTCCTGACATGACCAAAAAAATAAATAAAAGCAGGTTAAACCACTGAGTTTGCTAACCAAAAGGTTGGCGGTTTGAATCTGGGGAGCAGGGTGAGCTCCCACTGTTAGCCCCAGCTTCTGCCAACCTAGCCGTTCAGAAATATGCAAATTTGAGTAGATCAATAAGTTCAAATCCGGGGAGAGCACAGATGAGTTCCCTCTGTCAGCTCCAGCTCCCCATGCAGGGACATGAGAGAAGCCTCCCACAAGGATGGTAAAAACATCAAAACATCCAGGCATCCTCTGGGCAACATCCTTGCAGATGGCCAATTCTCTCACACCAGAAGTTACTTGCAGTTTCTCAAGTCGCTCCATGCAGTCGTGCTGGCCACACGACCTTGGAGGTGTCTATGGACAATGCTGGCTCTTCAGCTTAGAAATGGAGATGAGCACCAGAGTCCCAGAGTCGTGCACAAATAGACTTAATATCAGGTTGAAACCTTGACCTTTACCTTATTGTAAGTGGTGACCCTTATATCAAATGCATAGTATAGTATAGCAAATGGTGTATCTTACATCAAATGGCAACAAAGAAAAGGGTAGGTTTGTTGTAATGTTTGTTGTTATTGTTGTTGTTGTTTATTTGTTCAGTCTCTTCCGACCTCATCGACCAGCCCAGAGCTCCCTGCCGGCCATGGCCATGTTTATTTATCTTTTAGTTAATTATGTCTCACTGAACACTTCCCAAGAGTTTAGGACTGTGTGATGTTGTTGTTGTTGTTGTTGTTGTTGTTGTTGTTGTTGTTATTCCATGTCTCCATGCTGTGCAGTCCTGGGAGTCATAGTTTCCCAAGGTCCATACCCTTCCCTTGGTGCATTTACACTATGGAATGAATGCTCTTGCACCCCACATTAAATATCATAGCTCCATACTATGCAGTCATGGGAGTTATAGTTTCCCAAGGTCCATATCCTTCTCTGGGTGCATGTGCACTGGAGAATAAATGCAATCGGAACCCTTTTTAAAATGCCATTATTATTATTATTATTATTATTATTATTATTATTATTATTATTATTATTGAGCCCCCAGTGATGCAATGAGTTAAACCCTTGTGCTAGTAGGACTGAAGACCCACAGGTCGGAGGTTCAAATCCGGGGGAAGCGCGGATGAGCTCCCTCTGTCAGCTCCAGCTTCCCCATGCGGGGACATGAGAGAAGCCTCCCACAAGGATGGTAAAACATTAAAACATCCGGGTGTCCCCTGGCTTTGGGGAGATGGTGGCGGGTATAAATAAAGATTATTATTATTATTATTATTATTATTATTATTATTATTGAGGAGCCCCCGGTGGCGCAGTGGGTTAAACCCCTGTGCTGGCAGGACTGAAGACCAATAGGTCGCAGGTTTGAATCCAGGGAGAGGTGGATGAGCTCCCTCTGTCAGCTCCAGCTCCTCATGCGGGGGACATGAGAGAAGCCTCCCGCAAGGATGGTAAAACATCAAAAACATCCAAGCAACGTCTTTGCAGACAGCCAATTCTCTCACTCCAGAAGCGACTTGTAGTTTCTTAAGTCGCTCCTAACATGAAAAAAAAACCCTGACTATTCTGTCAGTGAGACATTATCCAAATTACCATATATACCCGAGTATAAGCCGACCCGAATATAAGCCGAGACACCTAATTTTACCACAAAAACTTGGGAAAACATATTGACTCGAGTATAAGCCAAGGGTGAGAAATGAAGCCACTACTGGTAAATTTCGAAATAAAAATAGATAACAATAAAATTACATTAATTGAGGCATCTGGAGGTGAAATGGTGTTGAACATTTACATAAAATTGTAATTTGAGATAAGACTGCCCAACTCTGATTAAATCATTATTCTAACCTTCTTCAATGTAAGTGTATTTACGTATCCTTCCAAAAATAATAAAGAGAATAAAATTATGAATGTAATAATAATAATAATAATAATAGTAAAATAATGGAAATGCAATAATAACAGTAATAATAGAGTAAAATAATAAATGCAATAATATGTAATAATAATAATCATAATTGTTCCGTCTCCCAGGATCCTGATTTGCCTTGAGATTGCTTGAGGTTGCTTCCTCTTGCATTTTCTTAAAAGTTAATAGTATCAGAGTCTGCAGGTCTCTTTGCAACCATTGGCTTAGAGAGCAGCTCTTTGAGTTTAGGGACCGCCTTTTCTCCCAGGGAAAGATCTCCATTTTAGATTCTCCCCTGCCTTTTCAGTTTGAGGAAAGACTTCAGATGTGCTGACGGCTAGGCAGTTAGCTCTGGGAAAACCATTGCAAAAACTAAACTGAGTAAGCTATATTGAGTTAATATAGATAGTATATTGTGTATTGGCCTAGAGAAGACAATTATGCTGGGGAAAGTGGAAGGCAAAAGGAAGAGGGGCCGACCAAGGGCAAGATGGATGGATGGCATCCTTGAAGTGACTGGACTGACCTTGAGGGAGCTGGGGGTGGTAACGGCCGACAGGGAGCTCTGGCGTGGGCTGGTCCATGAGGTCACGAAGAGTCGGAGACGACTGAACGAATGAACAACAACAACATATTGTGTATTGAGCTGTATTGAGATATTATAGACAGATAAGCTTAATTGAGAAGGTTGAGTTATATAGTTATAGAGAGAGAGTCTTGACTGCTTTGTCTCCAGAACTAACCTTAAGTTATAGATAGGGGGAAAACTGCTTTTTTCTAAACCACAACAGCTTAAGGTTAGGGTGTTAAGATTCCAGGATCTTATCTGCCATCTGGAGAAAAGGGTTACCTCTGTAACTAAAGAAAGGAAATAATATTTTTTGTAGTTTCATCTATTGACTGTTTATTTGCAACTTTGATGAACTGTGCCAAGTCTTCAAGAACTTTGAATAAATAAATATCTTTTTTGATGTTTATTTATTCATTTATTTATTTACAGTTTTTATATTCCGCCCTTCTCACCCCGCAGGGGACTCAGGGCAGATTACAGTATACACATATATGGCAAACATATCCTGGAATCTTAACACCCTAACCTTAAGCTGTTGTGGTTTAGAAAAAAGCAGGTTTTCCCCCTATCTATAACTTAAGGTTAGTTCTGGAGACAAAGCAGTCAAGACTCTCTCTCTATAACTATATAACTCAACCTTCTCAATTGCCAGTTTGACAGACAACAAATACAGACAATACACAGAGGCTATTTAACTTTTTTCTGGCCTCCAGGAGAGCTGCTGCTTTCATCGTCCATCAGCGATACCGATGAAGTTCTTCCGCATTCCACATCCCGGAGTTTTCTTTATGGCCTCATAAATTAGTTAATTTAGCCTCCCACACAAGGTGGTACCTTATTTTCCTACTTGACAGATGCAACTGTCTTTTGGGTTGCAAAGGTCGACAACAGGCTACACAATGGCTGGACACCCACTCCAGCCCGGGCTGGCTTCGAACTCATGACCTTTTGGTCAGAGTGATCTTAATGCAGCTGACACTCAGCCAGCTGCGCCACAATTTATAGCATTAACAACAATTACAAAAACTGTAGATTGCCAATCACAATTTCTATATTCTAAGAATTTCTACATTGAATGTAACATGAGAACATTCACACGATTAATTAAAGACTGTTTATAATTGGAAGATAATTTTTCAATACTTTGTTAACATAGTAAAACTAGAGCTTCCAAAATCACAATTACATAATGTCAGGCACAGTGACACAAAATAACACTTCCTATATTATCGAAAGATCTTCTTTCATAAACAACATCAGAAACAGTGACACATGGTTTATCAATATTTCGTCAACACAATGAGCTTAGAGCTTCCAAAACAACAGTTAAACAATATCAGGCACAGTGGCACAAAATAACACTTTCTATGTTGTCGAAGGATCTTCTTCCATAAACAACATCAGTGACAGTGACACACAACAAGGTCTCCCGGGTTGTTTCCCTTGTTTCGCAATGTCTTCATCAGGTGTTATGATGTTTTAATTCACTAAATAAGAAACACAGCAACATACAAATAATAGATATACTACAATCCCCAAATTGACATAGTTTTGAAAAGGTTGTCATTGTACATGCATGCCTACTTACATTCTTATAGGTGGCTATCAGTTCTGTTTTGATTTCCTATCAGCATTTATAGTTTTTGATTCACTAGTTAGGAAAAGGACAATATATAGGCCGAACAGGGCATAGGGTTACAGCCTGTGCTGGACGGGGTCGCACTCCCCTTGAAGGCGCAGGTTCGCAGCTTGGGTGTGACCCTGGATTCATCTTTGAGCCTGGATCCCCAGGTTTCAGGGGTGACCAGGGGAGCATTTGCACAGCTTAGGCTGGTGTGCCAGCTGCGCCCGTACCTTGGGAAGTCTGACTTGGCCACGGTGGTACACGCTCTGGTCACATCCCGCCTTGACTACTGCAACGCTCTCTACGTGGGGCTGCCCTTGAAGACGGCCCAGAAGCTTCAGCTAGTCCAGCGCGCGGCAGCCATGTTACTAACGGGAGCGGGACGCAGGGAGCACACAACGCCCTTGTTGTCCCAGCTCCACTGGCTGCCGATCTGCTACCGGGCCCAATTTAAGGTGCTGGTGTTATCCTACAAAGCCCTAAACGGTTCCGGCCCAAAATACCTTTCGGACCGCATCTCGGCCTATGAGCCCACGAGGGCCTTGAGATCGTCTGGGGAGGCCCTTCTCTCGATCCCGCCTGCCTCACAGGCTCGTCTGGCGGGGACGAGAGAGAGGGCCTTCTCGGTGGTGGCCCCCCGGCTGTGGAACACCCTCCCTGTTGACATCAGACAGGCGCCCTCCCTTATGGCTTTCCGTAAGAGCCTAAAGACCTGGCTATTCGAGAAGGCATTTAAATGAGTGCTACATTAACTGGTAAGGACATTTGGAACGGAATATGGATTATGAGATTGACTATGATGATTCCTTGTTGTGACGGTGCGGATTAGTTAGTGTAATTTAGATTAATATGTAATATGGTTATGTTGATGTTTGTGTGCTTTATTGTAAACTGTTTTTTATATGTTGTACACCGCCGCGAGTCGCCCCAGGGCTGAGAGCGGCGGTCAACAAATGCAGCAAATAAATAAATAAATAAATAAATATATCAACCAGTTGCGCCACAATCCCGGTGCCCCACAATCCTGTTTAAACCAGTAATAGTCTCAGTTGCTGAGTATCTCAAGCTTCTCAATATAGACACCTGCAGTTCGCTCAGACATAGAGAAAAGCACGTCACAGTTTTATTTTTTATATCGTCTGGGCGGACGGCACAATAATAATAGAGTAAAATATTGTAAATGTAATAAAATAATATATGAAATAAAAATAATACTAATAACAGAATAAAATAATAAATAACCTTGACTCGAGTATAAGCCGAGGGGAGATTTTTCAGCCTAAAAAAAGGGGCTGAAAAACTAGGCTTATACTTGAGTATATACAGTAATTCAATGCAACTGAGAAATCTTTGTCGTTGACGTCTCCCACACACCAGATCTCATGACGCATCCTTCTTTCAGCGCGACGTCCTTGCTGATTCCTTTTTTCCTTCTCGTCCTTTGACAGTGGAGAACCTCTACACGGCCCTCCGCAACATTGACCGCAGCGAGATCATCAACATGTTGGAAGGCTCGGCGCGGCAGAGCCGGGGCCTGAAGGGTGACAAGCGCTACTCCAACAGAGACTACTCCCTATCGCCCTCCCAGATGAATGGTGAGTCCCGGCCCGGACCCTTCTCCAGCAGACCCACAGTCACATGCGCAAGGCGAGGTCTTCCAGGCCCTTCAGCCCTTCTGTGCCCATCTTCCTCTGTTGCCCCTTTGGCCTGTCCTGTAGTCCCTGAGCTCAACTCGGGCAACCGGCTGTGTCCTGCTATCTCTCTATCTTCCTGGCAGCTGCTTTTTGTGTTGCTAGCCTTATGGTCCCATCTTGCGCCTTGGGGAAACCAAGTCCAGGAGATCCCCGCAGTGTGCGCAGATCCTGCCGTGTGTTGCATCCCAGAGCGCAGCCAGAAGTCCAGAAGGAACGGCTGAGCATGCAGCCGAGTCTTGAAGTCTTGGGACCAAACTAGACGGGAATTCACACACACCGTTTGCAAAGGCATGCAGACTTTTAAGAAGAAGTAAAAAGCAAATGCAGAGGAATCAGGAAAGGACTGACTGAAACGTAGGATATGGAGTTGCAGAGAGCAAGGTGGTAGGACATGCAGTGTGGTTCAGAAAGAAAACACAAAGGAGGAGGTGGCACAGAAGATGTGCTGCGAGGAGAACCACAGGCCATGTGCCAGGTTAGCCTTGCCTTGAAGAATGCATAGCCTAGTTACCTGACTGAATCCTTCCTTAGGCGATCCCTCGTAGTCCGAGTAGGATCGGTGTTCTGTCGGTGGGTCCGTAGGTGGCTGTGGAGCCCTATTCTTGACCCACATGTTCTCCCGCAGTGAGGGCATCGGTTTCCAGGTGGAAGGTGGTCCCGGTCTGGGTTGCCTTGATGCGCCTTCCTCTTGGCACGTTTCTCTCTTTCACCCTCCATTTGTGCCTCTTCAAATTCTGCAGCACTGCTGGTCACACCTGACCTCCAGCTGGAGCACTCAAGAGCCAGGGCTTCCCAGTTCTCAGTGTCTATGCCAGAGTTTTTAAGGTTGGCTTTGAGCCCATCTTTCAATCTCTTTTCCTGTCCTCCAACATTTGGTTGGGCATCCGGACAATGTGGCCGTCCAGGGGAGTTGATGGCGGAGGACCATCGCTTCAATGCTGGTGGTCTTTGCTTCTTCCAGCACATTGACATTTGTCCACTTGTCTTCCCAAGAGATTTGTAGGATTTTCCAGAGGCAGCGCTGATGGAACCTAGTTATCTGACTGAATACCCAACTCCTCAACAGCTCTTCCATTCTGTCTCTCTGGGGCACGAGCATAGGATAGGAATCACACTGTGTCCAATTCTGGGCACCGCCATTGAAGGGAGTTCACTCTAAGCTGGAATGTGTCCAGAGGAGGGAGGCTCAAAGGATCAAGGGTCTGGAGAACAAATGCTATGAGGAGTGGCTTAAAGAGCTGGGCATGTTTCGCCTGCAGGCTGTGAGGAGACCTGATGAGGGCCATGCATCAATATATGAGGGGAAGTCATAGGGCGGAGGGAGAAGGAAGGAAGGAAGGAAGGAAGGGGAGAAGGAGAAAGAGAGGGAGGGAAGGAAGGAAGGAAGGAGAAAGGGAGAGAGGGAAGGAAGGAGAAAGGGAGAGAGGGAAGGAAGGAAGGAGAGAGAAAGGGAAAGAGGGAAGGAAGGAAGGAAGGAAGGAAGGAAGGAAGGAAGGAAGGAAGGAAGGAAGGAAGGAAGGAGAAAGGGAGGGAGAGAAGGAAGGAAGGAAGGAAGGAGAGAGAAAGGGAAAGAGGGAAGGAAGGAAGGAGAAAGGGAGGGAGGATGGAAGGAAGGAAGGAAGGAAGGAAGGAAGGAAGGAAGGAAGGAAGGAAGGAAGGAAGGAAGGAAGGATGGAAGGAGAAAGGGAGAGAGGGAAGGAAGGCAGGAAGGAAGGGTGGAAGGGAAGAAGAAAGAGGGAGGGGAGGGAGGGAAGAGAGAAGGAAGGAAAGACAAAAGGGAAGGACGGACGGAAGGAAGGAAGGAAGGAAGGAAGGAAGGAGAAAGAGACAGAGAGAGAGAAGGAAGGATTTGAGGGTGGAAGGGAGGGAGAAAGAGGGAGGGAAGGAGGAAGGAAAGAGAGAAGGGTAGGATGGTGAGAGAGAGGAGGGCCTGAGAAAAGAGCGCAAGGGGCCCCATCTGGCCCCCGGGCCTGGGTTTACCCAGACCCGGACTAAAATGGTCAAGGGTCTGGACAACAAGCGCTATGAGGAGTGGCTGAAAGAGCTGTGCATGTTTAGCCTGCAGAAGAGAAGGCTGAGAGGAGACAGGATGAGGGCCAGGTTTCAATATGTGAGGGGAAGTCATAGGGAGGAGGAGGGAGCAGTTCTCGAGACTAGGACACAATGGGACAATGGCTTCAAACTACAGGAAAGGAGATTCCACCTGAACATGAGGAAGAACTTCCTGACTGTGAAAGCTGTTCAGCAGTGGAACTCTCTGCCTCAGAGTTTGATAATCAGGGGTCAGGGGTCAGAGTCAGGGGTGCTTTGAATGTGATTTTCCTGCTCCTTGGTAGAATAGGGTTGGACTGGTTGTCCACGAGGTCTCTTCCAACCCAGAACAGACTGCCTTCTTCCACTCGGTTCCTCCTGAGATGGCTGGGCAGTGGGTGCCGTTCCTTGTTGCCCTCGGGCCGCCTCTTGACCTTTTTCCTCTCCTCCTTTTCTTCCTCTTCCTCCTCCTCTTCTTCTTCCTCCATTGCCTGTCTCCACTGTCTCTTCCTCTCTGTCTTTCTCTTCCCTGGCCTCAGTTGTCCGAGCGCTTTTGCTGCGCTGACCGATGCATGACGTGCGCGCGGCTCGACTTGGCATGCCTTTCTCGTCTCACCACTTTGGCCTTTGGCTGCTTCCCTTCTCCTGGCTTCCCTTCCTTGCCTCACAGCTGCTTTGCAGGTCCCGACGGAAAGGGGAGGGCTGCGCCACCGCCCCGAGCCTGCCTGGCAGAGAGACCCTCTCCTCCCCACGCATTGCCGAGCAGGCAAAGTCCGGCTGCAGCTGCGCAACGACACTCTCCAAGGGCTGCATGGAGCAAAGTCATACGATACATGGGAGCCCTTTTGCCCCTGGCGGGGGGGAAATACGTACCCATGGCTATGGCTGTTTTTAAGACAGTGCCATCTGTGCACGTGCACATCATAGTTTATAGAGATCATACGAGTAAACGGGCCTGAAGTATCGTCAGTCTGAATGTTGACGGAGTGGGGGCCCAGATCACAGGAAAGAGGAAACGTATATATAGAAAATATGGTTGAAACTATTTAGGCTTCATCCTAAGTTGGTATTGATGAGGGGAATCTGGAAATGCATTTTTTTCCTGGCAATACGGTTAGATCCGGCCGGAACAATATGCGGCCCGCGGGCCGGATACGGCCCTGACAAGGAGTTGGTGCAGCCCACAGAAAAAAACGAAGCACACAACGATAACAAATCCTAATTAATAGTTATTTGACCTTTGCTTCCCCCCCCCCCTCCCGATGGCACAGCGGGTTAAACCACTGAGCTGCCAACTCGAAAGGTTGGCGGTTTGAATCCAGGGAGTGGGGTGAGCTCCCGCTGTTAGCCCCAGCTTCTGCTGACCTAGCAGTTCGAAAACATGCAAATGTGAGTAGATCAGTCGGTACCGCTTCTGTGGGAAGGTAACGGCGCTCCATGCGGTCATGCTGACCACATGACCTAGGAGGTGTCTACGGACAACGCTGGCTCTTCGGCTTAGAAGATGAGTCCCAGAGTCGGACACAAATACGCTTAATGTCAGGGCAAAACCTTTATCTATACCTTTATTTACAGTATTTATATTCCGCCCTTCTCACCCCGCAGGGGACTCAGGGCAGATTACAGTGTACACATATATGGCAAACATTCAATGCCAATTTTGACATACAACATATACAGACATACACAGAGGCTATTTAACTTTTCTGGTCGCCAGGGGAGCTGTCGCTTTCATCGTCCATCTGCGACACTGATGAAGTACTTCCGCATTCCCCGCATGCTTCCCACTGGAGTGCTTTGCTGGAGTCTTTTTTATGGCCTCATAAATTAGTTAATTTAGCCTCCCCACACTTTAAGGTGGTACCTAATTTTCCTACTTGACAGATGCAACTGTCTTTCGGGTTGCAAAGGTCGACAACAGGCTACACAATTGGTTGGAAACCCACTCCAACCCGGGCTGGCTTCGAACTCATGACCTTTTGGTCAGAGTGATCTTAATGCAGCTGACACTCAGCCAGCTGCGCCACAATCCTTTGATATTTCTCTTTGAGAAAAATCAAAACCTGAATGAAAGAAAACAAGCTTCCAGTGAAACAAATAGATTCGAACGAGCCTGAAGTCTTTAATATTGGAAAGGAATGCAAAATTGAATGTGTAGCAGCCAATCCAAGGGTTACCCTTTGAGACTCTGCACAAATTGGTTTCTGTCATTTATGTTATTTCCTGCTTTAATATACACAGCCAAGGCAGTTGACCCTCCGTATCCGTGGAATCTGTCTCTGTGGATTCAACCCTCCACGGCTTGAACATATTATATATATATATATATATTAAAATCCAAAAGGCAAACTTTCGTTTTGCCATTTTGTATAAGAGACGGCACTTTCCGGTGTCAGTGTATATAAATGGGACTTGGGCATCCACGGATTTGGGTCTTGGAACCAAACCCCAACGGATACCAAGGGCCTAACTGTACATACATGTAAACGTTTTGCAGTTTTTACGATATCTCGAGAGGCTACACACTTGACTCTTTGTGCTATTAAAGACTTGAAAGACGCTCTCGTACATGAGGCTCAAAGTTGTCGCGTGCTCGTTTTGGTTGGAATTGATATTCCCCGAAAATGGAAAAAAACACATTGGCTGGGATGCTTGTTTGCAATGCAAATAATCTTCCATATTTTTGACAGACCCATAAATCAAATTACGTTTGAGAGAGGAAAGTCCATGCCATTTGAGCCTCACGTATGAAAGCAGACAACTCCGTGGCATTGGTTTCATGATCGGGCTTTCTTTGTCGCTCCCTCCGGCTTTCTGCTCCTGAAAAGCGTCCAAAGGCATCCTTGGGGTGGATTCAGGACCCATTTTCCAAGTGCCACATGGGGCAAGCACATCTTCTCTTCTCGATGCTCCTCAGAAAGTATCTGAGATGTCAGGACTACATTGGGAACTGTGTTGGAAACGAGGCAAGTGGGGTCGATATATCTGTGGAATAATGTCCAGGGTGGGAGAAGGACCTCTTGTATGTTTGAGGTAGGTGTGAATGTTTCAATTGGCCACCTTGATTGGTATTTAATGGCCTTGCAGCATCAAAGCCTGGCTGCTTCCTGCCTGGGGGAATCCTTTCTTGGGAGATGTTAGCTGGCCCTAATTGTTTCCTGTCTGGAATTCCCCTGTTTTTTGAGTGTTGCTCATTATTTTCAGTCAAATAAAGGATTCCCCCAGGCAGAAGACATCCAGGCTTTGAAGCTGCCAGGCTATTCAATGCTAATCAAGGTGGCCAACAGCAACATTCAGACTTGGGGTCTTTCTTTCTCCCACCCTGGACATCATTCCACAAGGATGGATATATAAGTCCCACTTGCCTTGTTTCCAACAGACCCCTCAACCTCTGAGGGTTTGTTGTTGTTTTTTGGTCGTGTCAGGAGCGACTTGAGAAATTGCAAGTTGCTTCTGGTGTGAGAGAATTGGCCATCTGCAAGGACGTTGCCCAGGGGATGTGTGGATGTTTTTGACCATCCTCATGTCCCTTTTGCATGAGAAGAACTTAATGCCTCACTTAGTAAATTTTTTTGTTTTTTGGTCGTGTCAGGAGCGACTTGAGAAACTGCAAGTGGCTTCTGGTGTGAGAGAATTGGCCGTCTGCAAGGACGTTGCCCAGGGAATGTTTGGATGTTTTTGACCATCCTCATGTCCCTTTTGCATGAGAAGAACTTAATGCCTCACTTAGTAAAAAAAAAATTTTTTGGTCGTATCAGGAGCGACTTGAGAAACTGCAAGTCACTTCTGGTGTGGGAGAATTGGTCGTCTGCAAGGACGTTGCCCAGGGGATATTTGGATGTTTTTGATCATCCTCATGTCCGCTTTGCATGAGAAGAAATGAATGCCTCGCTTAGTAAATGTGCAGCGCGCAGAGCCATGTCCCCAACTGGGTAGGGCTCCTGACCATTGCCAATGCTTGGGCCTGGGAAGATGGGAATTGGACTTCCAACCACATCTGGAGGGCGCCTGGTGAGAGGAACATGGTGCAGAAGGCTAGAGGGATGCAACTTTCCGGTTTCTGGGCAGAACATTCCCTTCTCCTGCCATCTCACTGCTCTTGGACCGAGTGGTTCACCGCTCGGATGGGGAATGCTAGGGAAGTGCGCTAGGAGCGGGGCCTTTTGGCCGTGCAAGGTGTTGGCCCCACTCCCTTTGCGAGGCCCCCGTTCCCGCACAGGCCGCCGCGGCCGCTCTGTTTTGTCAGCCTGTCGCCCTCTGTCTGCCCATGCAGGTTACGCTTCGCTGCAGGACGAGCTGCTCTCCCCCGCCTCCCTGCATTATGCGCTGCCCTCCCCGCTGCGTGCTGACCAGTACTGGAGCGAGGTGGCCATTATGGACGCCATCCCCATGGCCGCCAGCGAGCAGGACGCCCTGATGGAGATGTCGGACATGCAGGTGTGGTCCTCGGGGCTGACCCCCTCGCTGGTGACCGCCGAAGACTCCTCCCTGGAGTGCAGCAAGGCCGAGGACTCGGACGCCACGAGCGAAGGCCGCTTCCCGGGACACATCCCGGAGGAAGTCCACGGCCCCGACCCGCTGGGCTCCATGGACCTGGTCGAGGACGACACCGTGGACTCAGACGCCATGAATGGCCTGATGGACATGCTAGAGCAGGAGGAAGGTCAGAGGTCAGAGGGGAGGAGGCCAGACGGCGAGCACCAGGCGGGCCTCGGGGTGGAGCGGGGCCTCTGCCGGGGCGGTTTCCCACAGTCACCTCTCTCTCCTTTCAGGCCAGCAGAAGGTGCAAGCCCACATCACGGAGTCGCCCTCGGTCAGCCGCGTCGTGGACAAGGGCAAAGACAGGTACATACGGGAGACCTCCGGAGCATTGCCTTGCTCCTCCTCGATATTATTTATTCTTTTACTAGCCGTCCCCTGCCACGCGTTGCTGTGGCCCACATGGGGGTTCTATGTGGGAGGTTTGGCCCAATTCTATCATTGGTGGGGTTCAGAATGCTCTGTGATTGTAGGTGAACTATAAATCCCAGCAACTACAACTCCCAAATGTCAAGATTCTATTTTCCCCAAAACCACCAGTGTTTTCTGTTGGTCATGGGAGTTCTGTGTGCCAAGTTTGGTACAATTGCATCGTTGGTGGGGTTCAGAATGCTCTGTGATTGTAGGTGAACTATAAATCCCAGCAACTACAACTCCCAAATGTCAAGATTCTATTTTCCCCAAAACCACCAGTGTTTTCTGTTGGTCATGGGAGTTCTGTGTGCCAAGTTTGGTACAATTGCATCGTTGGTGGGGTTCAGAATGCTCTGTGATTGTAGGTGAACTATAAATCCCAGCAACTACAACTCCCAAATGTCAAGATTCTATTTTCCCCAAAACCACCAGTGTTTTCTGTTGGTCATGGGAGTTCTGTGTGCCAAGTTTGGTACAATTGCATCGTTGGTGGGGTTCAGAATGCTCTGTGATTGTAGGTGAGCTATAACTCCCAAATGTCAAGATTCTATTTCCCCCAAACTCCACCAGTGTTCACATTTGGGCATATTGAGTATTCGTGTAGAGATTGGTTTGGACACAAACAATGATGGATCTGCACCAAACTTGGAACAAATACTCAATATGCCCAAATGTGAACACTGGTGGAGTGTGGGGGAAATAGACCTTGATATTTGGGAGTTGTAGTTGCTGGGATTTATAGTTCACCTACAATCAAAGAGCACTCTGAACCCAGCCCACAATGGATCTGCACCAAACTTGGCACACTACCTACATGACCAACATTGAATACTGGTGCACTGAACCTCATGACCAACAGAAAATGCTGTGTTTTCTGATGGTCTTTGGTGACCCTTCTGACACCCCCTTGTGACCCCCAACCAGGGGTCCCGACCCCCAGGTTGAGAAACAATGAAATAGAGTTTCGAGTCTGAACATGCTCCGTACAATCACATGTCTGTAGCCCCTCCCTCACCAAAGAGGTCAGTCAATATGACAAATCAGCATATACATTAGCAAATCTATACATTAACTAACACAACAATGAAGGCTAGGAAGATAGTAAATAATAATAATGATGATGATAATAATAATAATAATAATAATAATAATACTTTATTTATACCCCGCCACCATCTCCCAAAGGGACTCGTAGTGGCTTACATGAGGCCGAGCCCAGCAGTACATCAATAAACAAAAGCAATAAACAAAAACAACAAATACAATACAATTAATATAAATCACATATAAACAATAAACAGTAAACAGTAACACAAAAGGATTTAAAAACCTATGGCCAGGCCAAATGTAATAGTTTAAAAATTAAAAAATAAAGGCTGGACATGAATAAGGTAGGACATATTTGGTATAAGGTTTTCAAAGAGAGATGAGGGAATGCCATCAGTCCTAAACTAGTAGTAAAGTGCATCCTGAGGGCATATTGCTGAGAATTTTCCTTATTCTTGGAAGGCACACTGGAACAGCCACATTTTCAGGTTCCTCCTAAAGACTGCCAGAGTTGGGACATGCCTGATGTCCTTGGGGAGTGAGTTCCAGAGTCGGGGGGCCACCACCGAGAAGGCTCTCTCCCTCGTCCCCACCTATCACGCCTGCAAAGGAGGTGGGAGTGCAAGCAGGGCCTCTCCAGCTGATCAAAGAGATAGTGTGGGTTCGTACACAGAAATGCGTTCACGTAGGTAGGCGGGCCCCAAATTGTTCAGGGCTTTGTAGGTAAGAACCTGCACCTTGAATTGGGACCGGAAAATGAATGGCAGCCAATGGAGCTCCTTGAACAGGAGGGTTGACCACTCTCTGTAAGTTGCTCCAGTTAGTAACCTGGCTGCCGCCCGTTGTACCAATTGAAATTTCCGGGCCATTTTCAAGGGCAGCCCCACGTAGAGTGCATTACAATAGTCCAATCTGGAGGTGACTAAGGCATGGACCAGATCCAACTTTCATCTTGTTATTTCCAACAAGATGAAAGGTTGACTGCTGTCACACGCTGGGTCTGTGAAAGAGTCTGTAGACAGGATGTGTTTTCTGAATGTCCAACGGGACGCCGGGGGTGCCTCGGCTGAGAGGCCTTTCAGATTTCCCCACACAAAAACTTAGCAAGTTCAACAAAGTTTTTATTGTTGCTTAAATCTTCAATAAATCAAACAAATACTTCAAGGCTTTGAATCTTCTGGTGGTTTGCTCAAATCTTGTCCACAAGGGACAGGCAACTTTCTTCATAAACCGTTTCTCCTCCTACAAGGGAAATCCTTGACCCTTCCTTGGGCAATCTGACTTAAGCTCTGCTGGCGTGGGCCCCTACACCCGGTCCAAATTGCGTTATGGCTGCCGCGAGTGGTCCTTACCAAACAGAGTCCTTTAGTAGATTTCCAAGAGGAAAGAAGGCTTTCAATTCCCAGCGAAGGCTGGCTGTAGAGTTGTGGAACTAAATTCCCCAACAAAGGCTAAGCTGTAGTTCTCTGTAGAGCTGTGGGACTGGATCCCCCCAGCAAAGCTGGAAAAGACGAAGCTTTCTACAGGTGGAACTGATTCACATCCTGTACGAAAGGCTTCTCTGTGAGAACTGAACTAGAGGTCCCCTTTTTATTTATTTATTTCGTGCACTTCTACCCCACCCTTCTCAACCCCCGAGGGGGGACTCAGGGCGGCTTACAAAAGGCACAATTCGATGCCAACACAAACAATAAGATAAAACATATATAAACAGTCATTAAAACTAGGTTCTTGTGGGTTTTTTCAGGCTATAGGGCCATGTTCTAGAGGCATTTCTCCTGACGTTTCGCCTGCATCTATGACAAGCATCCTCAGAGGTAGTGAGGTCTGTTGGAATTAGGACAATGGGTTTATATATCTGTGGAATGGCTGGGGTGGGGCAAAGAGCTCTTCTCTGCTGGAGCTAGGTGTGAATGTTTCAACTGACCAACTTCATTAGCATTTGAAGGCCTGGCTGAGCATGGGAAAATCTGAAAGGCACTGCAGGGTAATTCAACCAGAGAAGTCAGCCGTAGCAGAGCACCTGAGGAGCCCACCTGGACACAGCATGTTATTATTGGAGAAGACAGAAGTGCTGGAAATGCCACTCCACCATGTCAGACTACACAGAGAAGCCATTGAAATCCACAAGAAGCAGGTGGACAATTTCAACAGAAAGGAAGAGACCATGAAAATGAACAAAATCTGGCTACCAGTACTAAAAATCTCTAAAATTACAACAGCAAAACAACAGAGAGGAAACAACCAGGCACATCTTAACACCTCTCAATGAAAGATTTTCCCAGGCTCAGCCAGGCCTTCAAATGCTAATGAAGGTGGTCAGTTGAAACATTCACACCTAGCTCCAGCAGAGAAGAGCTCTTTGCCCCACCCCAGCCATTCCACAGGTATATAAACCCATTGTCCTAGTTCCAACAGACCTCACTACCTCTGAGGATGCTTGCCATAGATGCAGGCGAAACGTCAGGAGGAAATTATTATTATTATTATTAAACTTTATTTGTACCCCACTAGCATCTCCCGAAGGACTCGATGCGGCTTACAAAGGCCAAGGCCTCAACACAACAGCAGTAAACAACAACAATACAAAAGAAAGCAAATTAAAAACATAAGCAATAGCAAAACATTACACTATTAGACAATAAAAACCATGGCCGGGCCAATGATGGGTACAGGTTAAAAAGTGCTGGGTGTGACAGGAGGTGTATTGGAAATCTGGGCAAGTGCCATGTGCAGAGAGTCTTAAACTCTAGTAAAGTGCTTCTCGGACAAAGTGCTGGGTTATCCTATTCTGGAAAGGCACGACGGAATAGCCAGGTCTTCAAATTCTTCCTAAAGACTGCCAACATATTTCTAGAAATGCCTCTAGAACATGGCCCTATAGCCCGAAAAAACCCACAAGAACCTAGTGATTCCAGCCATGAAAGCCTTCGACAATACATAGTCATTAAAACAATTAAAACAATCAATTATACATCATAATCCATAAAAACCAATCTAGTGCTCAACGTTTGCCAGCTCAGAATCCATAAATTCATTCCACATTATCACATCCATCCATTCTAGTCGTCGCTTGTCCTTTGTCTATCTGCCAGATTACCCAAAAGCCTGGTCCCATATCCATGTTTTTGATTTCCTTCTAAAAGAGAGGAGGGATGTCGATGACCTAATTTCCCCGGGGAGTGCATTCCACAGGCGAGGGACCACCACCGAGAAGGCCCTGCTCCTCACCCCCACCAACCTCACTTGTGATAGAGGTGGGGCCGAGAGCAGGGCCTCCCCAAGAGATCTTAAACTCCGAGGCACGACGTAGAAGACAGATATGCTGGCCTACAAAATTTTGACCTACAAAACCGTATAGGGTTTTGTAGGTCAAAACCAGCACTTTGAATTGTGCTCGGAACTGGATCGGCAGCCAGTGGAGCTGACATAACAGAGGGGTGGTATGCTCCCTGTATGACGCTCCGGTGAGTAATCTGGCTGCCGCCCGCTGGACTAATTGAAGTTTCCGAACAGTCTTCAAAGGCAACCCCACTTAGAGTGCGTTGCAGTAATCTATTTGGGATGTAACAAGGAGCGTGGACCACTGTGGCCAGATCAGACTTTCCCTCCTTAACCCAGAAAAAGGGGCGGGACTAATGAACATAATGATAATTGATGTGCCATTGACCCTATGATTGCAAACCAAGGGAAGCCGCCTTATTGCAAAATGCATGGAACTTTGGAACAGTCTTCAAAGGCAATCCCACGTAGAGTGCGTTGCAGTAATCTATTCGGGATGTAACAAGGAGCGTGGACCACTGTGGCCAGATCAGACTTTCCCTCCTTAACCCAGAAAAAGGGGCGGGACTAATGAACATAATGATAATTGATGTGCCATTGACCCTATGATTGCAAACCAAGGGAAGCCGCCTTATTGCAAAATGCATGGAACTTTGGAACAGTCTTTAAAGGCAACCCCACGTAGAGTGTGTTGCAGTAATCTATTCGGGATGTAACAAGGAGCGTGGACCACTGTGGCCAGATCTGACTTTCCCTCCTTAACCCAGAAAAAGGGGCGGGACTAAAGAACATAATGATAATTGATGTGCCATTGGCCCTATGATTGCAAACCAAGGGAAGCCACCTTATTGCAAAATGCATGGAACTTTGGAACAGTCTTTAAAGGCAACCCCACGTAGAGTGTGTTGCAGTAATCTATTCGGGATGTAACAAGGAGCGTGGACCACTGTGGCCAGATCTGACTTTCCCTCCTTAACCCAGAAAAAGGGGCGGGACTAAAGAACATAATGATAATTGATGGGTCATTGGCCCTATGATTGCAAACCAAGGGAAGCCACCTTATTGCAAAATGCATGGAACTTTGGAATGCATGCAAACACTCAATAGAAAGGGAAAGAAGTTGGAGCTCCTGGTACAGCCGTACCAGCACATTGACACAATTTCCCAGTCCTTGAGTGACCCCTGCTCCCATGATGTTAGCCATGTTCTTTTCGTGCCCACCAACTCCTTCCTGCTTGTCTCTGTGTCCGTGGTCTCCAGGCTGGGCGAATGGGCGGTGGAGAGCTCCTTCATCTCGACCTTCTCGGACCTGCCCAAAGGAGTGTCCTTGAGTCCGCCCAGGTTGCGGCCGGCGGTGCCCTACAAGGTGCGGGGCCGGGAGCGGGAGAGGCCGGAGCACATGCGCATTGACTCCTCGGAGGAGAGGGAGAGCCCCCCGCCACACAAGGATTGGGGCCTCCAGCCGGGGAGGCGGACGGGCCTCACCCAGTGGCTCAAGGAGACCACCGAGAGCAGCCTCTTCGGACAAACGCAGGTACGAGGATGCCCAGGGGTGTTCAGACAAGTGGGAACGGATGACCTCACTACCTCTGAGGATGCTTGACATAGATGCAGGCAAAACATCAGGAGAAAATGCCTCTAGAACATGGCCATATAGCCCGAAAAAAACCCACAAGAACCTAGTGATTCCAGCCATGAAAGCCTTCGACAATACAATAATAATAATAATAATACTTTATTTATACCCCGCCACCATCTCCCCAAGGGGAGCGGCTTACATGAGGCCAAGCCCTACCTCTGACGGTGTCTGTCATAGATAGATGCAGGCGAAACGTCAGGAGAGAATGCTTCGGGAACATGGCCAGACAGCCTGGAAAACTCACAGCAACCTGCAAGTCCCACCCTGGTCATTCCACAGATATAT